CCCCGCAGTTCCTCGAGGGCAGGGACTTATTTGCTTTTTATTGCTCTTTCTGGTGCCAGGAGCAGGGACACCCTGTAGGGCTGGGGTGAGTGTGTGCTGAGTGAGTCAGTGCATTAATCGGTTCACCCCACCCTCCCCTCTGGTGCTGTTTCCTTCCCACCCCCTGGCACAGAGGAGGCACCGGTGGTCCAACCAGGCCGTTTGACTTGCTCAAGGTCACTCTGCCGGGCAGAGCCGGGATGGAAGCGGGGCACCCTCCCAGCGCCCCTCCCTCGCCCGCCTGCTGTGCTGTTTTGTGGACCAGGTGTCAATGCTTCCCAGCTAAAAGCTGTTTGCGGGGAGTCGCTGCTTCCCCTCCGTGGATCCGCTGTGTTCTCTGCACGGTGGCTGACGCTGCTGCAGCTCCATAAATATTAAATGGGTATTAAAAGAAGGCTCCGCGTTCCCAGTTTCCCTGATTCCTCCGAGCAGGGCCCATTGCGAACCCCCTTTATGTGGAACGCAGCGTTTCAGTGCGGAGCCCCCCGGGACGCCAAGCTGCCGCCTCTGCTGGCTCAGCCCCCGGCGGGCGCCGGCTCCCCCGCGTCGGCGATCCAGGGCACACAGGAGCCCGCTTCCTGGGCGGGGGGCGGAGGCCCCTGGGACCCCTTCACGAGGGCTGTGCCCACCTCGCCAGCCTCCTTCCGGGCTTCTGGCGTGGAGAGGGGGAGAGGGGCGATGCGCTGTCAGCCTTTAGCTGAGCCCTCTTGACACCCACCCTCTGCCAGGCCTATGTTGGTACCAGGGAAGGAGAGGGCAAGACACTCTGTCTGTCTGTCCCTCCCTCCGTCCCTCCGTCTATCCATTTATCCCTCTATCCCTCCGCCCCTCTCTCCATCCCCCCCTCCATCCACTCACTAATTCAGTATTTATGAAGCCTCCGTGAGAGGCCCTGGGGTAATGATGATGATGTAATCACGGTAATAGCTTACATTTATTGGGCACTTACTATGTGCTGGGCTCCGTGATAAGCAGTTTACACGCGCCGCCTCATTTAATCTCCATGACTCTGAGGTAGGTACTAGTCTTCTCTCCGCGTCGTGGGCGAGGGAACGGAGCCTCCGGCGGGGCGCGCTGCGCACTCGGGCTCCCTGAGTCATGGTCCTCACCAGGGGAGCCGCGGTAAGGGGTCAAAGCAGGGGTGTGTGGTGAGCCGGCACTTGAGAAAATTTGGGCTCCGCGGGGCTCCTGGGGCTGCCTCCTTTGCTCACACCGGATACCCTGTCGCACAGATGCCCCTGTCCCGGCAGACCTCTGATACGCAACTATCAACTTGATTGGGATAGTAAGCCAACATTCGCTGGGCACTTGGTGCCTGCCAGGCACTGTGCTCAGAATTCCCTTTCACTAATTCCCTTTCACTCAGCCTGCACAGCTGTCCTGGAGGGTGGCGGTCTTATTTTTAAACTCCTTCTCCAGAAGTGGACAGAGGCTCAGAGAGGGTAGGAAGTTGGCCTAGGGTCACACAGCACATCGGCACGAAGCTGGGGCCCAAACCCTTGTGCAGATCTCCATGGGAGCCCTGGATCTCGGCATCTGCTGCTCGACGCTTCTCCCCAGGATCCAGGCAGCACCCACAGAGGTTTTGTGAGCCCAGGGCTAGGACGCCTGACTCCCCCATCTCAGAGGCCTGCCTACCGCGTCCACCGGGGGAGCTGATGCACTTAGACACAAGTGCATCCCGGGGGGTGGGGTGAGGTGGGGGGGTGGGAAGAAGCAGATTTTTTTTCTTGTCTTCCCAAGAGAAGATGAACGGGCCTGTGTTGTGAATCAGGATGCGTTTGGGGGGGGGGGGGCTGAGGAAAAAGG